GCCATCTAAGTCCGGAAGTCGTCGAGGTGTCGATACCCGCGCCCGACGACCCGTTAAATGACAATTACAGCGTACCCCCTGACCTTCTCATGACGGAGCAGGCCAAAGACACCTTTGTACTGGCCACGAAGGTGTACCTTCTGGAAGGCGCCGTTTCTCTGGACCTTGACACGCTGGGGTACCTTATACGCATGAAGACCACTTTGAGGTGCAAGGAAGCATTCTATATCGGCGGACCATCATCAAGCCGCCGTTGCGCAATGCTGTCACCACGTTAGCCCCGATAATCCCGCTATCCCTTGTCCGATCCGTACTGGAACTCTGCCATGATTCGGCATTGTCTGGGCATTTTGGGGGTGGTACGAACCACCGAACGGGTCAGACGACTGGGGTACTGGAAGGGGTGGCGTGAAGACGTGGCTGAGTATGGTCGTCTGTGTGTCCGTTGTGGTGCCGCAAAGGGATCTAGGCCGTGGAGAAACGGAAAACTCCAACGAATGCCGGTGTACCGGTTGAAGGGACCCTTCAGTATGGTAGTCGTGGACGCGTTGGGTCCGTTCCCTCCTACTCCGAACGGGAACAAGTTCGTCTTGATCTTTGTCGATTACTTCACGCGATGGCCCGAGGCGTTCGCGGTGCCGGACCTGAAGTCCTCGACGTTTGTGCGAGTGTTCGTGGGCGCGGTCTTATGCAGATACGGTGTGCCGGATCGGTTGCTGTCGGATCGAGGAACCAACTTCGTGTCTCACCTGGCCCAATCGATATACCAGACGTTGGGGATCGAGAAGATGGCTAGCGCGCCTGGACATCCGCAAGGGCAAGGGTTAGTGGAACGATTCAACCACACGTTGGCGACCATGCTGAAGATGTACGTCAACTCTGTCCATACCGACTGGGACGTGTACCTGCCGCGACTGCTGTTTGCTTACCGTACGGCCTACCAGTCCACTCTGGGCGACTCACCGTTCTTCTGTTTGTTTGGCCACGATCCGGTTCAACCGTTGGATATTGTGTTCGCGAATCAAGACCCGCCGTGGAAGTCTGACGACCTGCCTCAGTGGCGGCGTTCGCAGTTTGCTTGGTTCCAAGAGACCCGACGGCTCGTTGAGCACAACTGATTGAAGGACAGAACCGCTAGGCGGCAGCGGTTGAAGCGCGGATGCGCGGAATTTCAACCCGCAGACTCTGTCTGGTTGTACCAATACTTCAGACGGTCGACGAGTACGGATGACACGCGGATCAAGAAGCTTGCTTACCATTGGCACGGTCCGTTACCGAATTCACTCTCGACAAGGTGAGAACACGTACCGCATTTACTTGCCTTCACACCCGGATCGATTGGTGCCGATCAACGTTGACCGACTAAAACGATTCCAAGGGTATTGGTCCCGTCCGTACGACGATGAGATACCGCTGCGGTTGTTGCACAATTCGCCGGAGGGGGAGTGGGCGCCGGAACACGACGAGGGCGACGCCGACGACGAGTTGTTGAGCCAAGAGTTGTTGCCGGCCAGCAGTTTTGTGGATCGCGTGCTGTTTCCTGACGGAGATCTGGCCTATACCAATGTCGAATCGGCTGTTTCGAAGATCCTCAACAAGCGAAAACGAACCGACGGCGAGCCCGAGTACTTGGTGCTGCATGCGGATTGCAACGCGTATTGGACTCCTCGTTCACGCCTAGTGGAGTATACCTCGTTCATCATGAAGTACGAGAACTCGGAGCGCGTAAACAATGGATTGCCACCTCTCCGCCGAAGTCCGCGCCTTGCCGAACTCGACACGGAACCTATGGAGGTGTTCGAGTTCTAACCAGGTTTGCACTCCAACCGACCAATTGTATATGGACTGCATGTATTACGTTTACAAAAAAAAAGAGAAGAAAAAAGGGGAGCCCTGAGAACAAGAAGACAAAGTGAAGCCGAGGCGGTCGTGGCGGGCGCGGTTTTCAATCTTCGTCGTTGTGTCCGTCGTCCCCTTCGCTGGCGTTGTAGTTTGGATCGTCGTCTTTTTCCTCGGAGTCGGAGTTGTCCAAGTCGAGGATGTCCATCATGGTTGGCCGCGGTCGTCAAGAGCGCCTGGGCCAGATTGCCGATGTTGGTCAGGTGTAGGTCGCGGG